CTTGATCACTTCAAAAAATCTTGTGGATGCTCTAATGGCCAAAGTTAATATCCGATTGACGTTAAATTTATAGACAATGGTTAAGGTCATGAGACGAAGAATCCTATTGATTTTCAATGATTTCCGATAATTACTGCCAGAGTTATGGCCCTTGATCACTTCAAAAAATCTTGTGGATGCTCTAATGGCCAAAGTTAATATCCGATTGACGTTAAATTTATAGACAATGGTTAAGGTCATGAGACGAAGAAACCTATTGATTTTCAACGATTTCTGATAATTACTGCCAGAGTTATGGCCCTTGATCACTTCAAAAAATCTTGTGGATGCTCTAGAGGCTAAAGTTAACATCCGATTGACATTAAATTTATACACAGTGTTTAAGGTCATAAGATGATGAAGCCTATTGGTTTTCAGCGATTTCCGATTATTACTGCCAGAGTTATGGCCCTTGATCACTCTGAAAAATCTTGTGGATGCTCTAGAAGCGAAAGTTGATATTCGATTGACTTTAAATTCATACACAGTGTTTAAGGTCATGAGACGAAGAATCCTATTGATTTTCAACGATTTCCAATATTTGCTGCCAGAGTTATGGCCCTTGATCACTTTGAAAAATCTTGTGGATGCTCTAGAAGCCAAAGTTAATATTCGATTGACTTTCAATTTATACACAGTGTTTAAGGTCATGAGACGAAGAAGCCTATTGATTTTCAGCAATTTCCGATAATTACTGCCAGAGTTATGGCCCTTGATCACTTCAAAAAATCTTGTGGATGCTCTTGAGGCTCAAGTTAATATCCAATTGAGTTTAAATTTATACAGTGTTTGAGGTCATGAGACGAAGATTCCTATTGATTTTCAACGATTTCCGATAATTACTGCCAAAGTTATGGCCCTTAAGTTATCATCCGATTGACTTCAGATTGATACACAGAGTTTAAGATCTTGAGACGAACAAGTATATTGATTTTCAATGAATTTTTATGACTTGAACAGTTAAATCTATGATATTAAAAGCTTTGCATACAAAACGTTAGCATGGGGCAGAACTTTATAAAAACCAAACAAATTCTAATAGTTTTCTGATAATTACTTCGTGAGTTGTTGCTCTTAATCAGATTTTAGTGTATTATAAATGTTTCATTACCGAAAAGGGGGGTTGGATGGCTGAATGGTTAGCGTGCGCGCGCTGTATCATAAAGTCTGTCATTGAGTCGACTGGCGTGGTTTCGAATCCCCGGTTGTACGTGGCAAGGAGTAGGGTCGCCTGTCCAACCTCGTGGGTTTTCTCCGGGTAATCCGGTTTCCTCCCACTGCTAAAGACCCCTACGCGCAAGCGAATTATGTTAATAAAATTAGACCATGTTAGTCCCGAAATGACCTAGTTTGTGTCGAGTGGACGTTAAACCCCATTTCTCTCTCTCTCTCATTACCGAAAAATATGCGACAACCCTTGTTGACTGCCCGGACGATTTAGTTGCTGTGGGCGTATGTTTCGTTGCCTGGCAACCTATCTTTTTTAAACTTAAAATATAAGTTTATAACCCAAAGATCTTGGTTCCAGTCGGTATTCGCGCATATCGGACCGTAACTTCCTGAATTATGGCCCCTGATTGTACGAAAATACGCGTTTTTAGCTTGTGAACCCTATATAGGTCATAATTTTTATCCGATTTAAAAAAACGTATTATTATATCACCGTTACACCCTAAGGATGGCTGAGTTTCAATTTCGTGAAAATCGGCCCAAAATTGACAGACAAAATGGCTGCCGTTCGTTCTCAAATAGCGTAAAAATATGGTATATCAAGGTTGTGGACCCTATAGAGGTCACAATTTTTATCCGATTTTGTTGAAACTTGAAATGTAAGTTTATAACCCAAAGATCTCGGTTTCTTTCGATATTTGCGCATATCAGACCGTAACTTCCTGAATTATGGCCCCTGATTGTACAGAAAATCGCTTTTAGCTTCTGGACCCTATAGAGGTCATAATTTTTATACGATTTAAAAAACCGTATTATTATATCACCGTTACACCCTGAGGACGGCTGAGTTCGAATTTCATAAAAATCGGCCCAAAACTGACAGACAAAATGGTCGCCCTTCGTTCTCAAATAGCGTAAAAATATGGTATATCAAGGTTGTGGACCCTATGGAGGTCACAATTTTAATCTGATTTTGTTGAAACTTGAAATGTAAGTTTATAACCCAAAGATCTTGGTTCCTTTCGATATTCGTGCATTTCGGACCGTAACTTCCTGAATTATGGCCCCTGATTGTACGAAAATACGCGTTTTTAGCTTGTGGACCCTATATAGGTCATAATTTTTATCCGATTTAAAAAAACGTATTATTATATCACCGTTACACCCTAAGGATGGCTGAGTTTGAATTTCGTGAAAATCGGCCCAAAATTGACAGACAAAATGGCTGCCGTTCGTTCTCAAATAGCGTAAAAATATGGTATATCAAGGTTGTGGACCCTATAATAGAGGTCACAATTTTTATCCGATTTTGTTGAAACTTGAAATGTAAGTTTATAACCCAAAGATCTCAGTTTCTTTCGATATTTGCGCATATCAGACCGTAACTTCCTGAATTATGGCCCCTGATTGTACAGAAAATCGCTTTTAGCTTCTGGACCCTATAGAGGTCATAATTTTTATACGATTTAAAAAACCGTATTATTATATCACCGTTACACCCTGAGGACGGCTGAGTTCGAATTTCATGAAAATCGGCCCAAAACTGACAGACAAAATGGTCGCCCTTCGTTCTCAAATAGCGTAAAAATATGGTATATCAAGGTTGTGGACCCTATGGAGGTCACAATTTTAATCCGATTTTGTTGAAACTTGAAATGTAAGTTTATAACCCAAAGATCTTGGTTCCTTTCGATATTCGTGCATTTCGGACCTTAACTTTCTGAATTATGGCCCCTGATTGTATGAAAAATCACGTTTTTAGATTGTGGACCCTATAGAGGTCATAATTTTTATCCGATTTAAAAAAACGTATTATTATATCACCGTTACACCCTAAGGATGGCTGAGTTTGAATTTCGTGAAAATCGGCCCAAAATTGACTGACAAAATGGCTGCCGTTCGTTCTCAAATAGCGTAAAAATATGGTATATCAAGGTTGTGGACCCTATAGAGGTCACAATTTTTATCCGATTTTGTTGAAACTTGAAATGTAAGTTTATAACCCAAAGATCTCGGTTTCTTTCGATATTTGCGCATATCAGACCGTAACTTCCTGAATTATGGCCCCTGATTGTACAGAAAATCGCGTTTTTAGCTTGTGGACCCTATAGAGGTCATAATTTTTATCCGATTTAAAAAAACGTATTATTATATCACCGTTACACCCTGAGGACGGCTGAGTTCGAATTTCATGAAAATCGGCCCAAAACTGACAGACAAAATGGTCGCCCTTCGTTCTCAAATAGCGTAAAAATATGGTATATCAAGGTTGTGGACCCTATGGAGGTCACAATTTTAATCCGATTTTATTGAAACTTGAAATGTAAGTTTATAACCCAAAGATCTTGGTTCCTTTCGATATTCGTGCATTTCGGACCGTAACTTCTTGAATTATGGCCCCTGATTGTATGAAAAATCATGTTTTTAGATTGTGGACCCTATAGAGGTCATAATTTTTATCCGATTTAAAAAAACGTATAGTTATATCACTGTTACACCCTAAGCACAACTGAGTTCGAATTTCGTGAAAATCGGCCCAAAACTGACAGATAAAATGACCGCCCTTCGTTCTCAAATAGCGTAAAAATAGGGTATATCAAAGTCGTGAACCCTATAGAAGTCACAATTTTTATCCGATTTTGTTGAAACTTGAAATGTAAGTTTATAACACAAAGATCTCGGTTCCTTTCGACATTTGCGCATATCGAATTGTAATTTCCTGAATTATGGCCCTTGATTGTAGGAAAAATCACTTTCTTCTTAGCTTGTTCTCTATCCATCTCTCGAAAATGTGGGCGTATCCTGCCAGGCAGCCGCTGGTTATCCAATTTTGTTGAAACTTGAAATGTAAGTTAATAACCCAATGATCTCGGTTCCTTTCGATATTCGCGCATATCGTACCGTAACTTCCTGAATTATGGCCTCTGATTGTACGAAAAATCGAGTTTTTAGCTTGTGGACCCTATAGAGGTCATAATTTTTATCCGATTTAAAAAAACGTATTATTATATCACTGTTACACCCTAAGGACAGCTGAGTTCGAATTTTGTGAAAATCGCCCCAAAATTGACCGACAAAATGGCTGCCGTTCGTTCTCAAATAGCGTAGAAATATGGTATATCAAGGTTGTGGACCCTATAGAGGTCACAATTTTTATCCAATTTTGTTGAAACTTGAAATGTAAGTTTGTAACCCAATGATCTCGGTTCCTTTTGATATTCGCGCATATCGGACCGTAACTTCCTGAATTATGGCCCCTGATTGTACGAAAAATCACGTTTTTAGCTTGTGGACCCTATAGAGGTCATTATTTTTATCCGATTTAAAAAAACGTATTATTATATCACCGTTACACCCTAAGGACGATTGAGTTTGAATTTCATGAAAATCGGCCCAAAATTGAATGACAAAATGGCTGCCGTTCGTTCTCAAATAGCGTAAAAATATTGTATATCGAGGTTGTGGACCCTATAGAGGTCACAATTTTTATCCGATTTTGTTGAAACTTGAAATGTAAGTTTATAACACAAAGATCTCAGTTCCTTTCGATATTTGCGCATATCGAATTGTAATTTCCTGAATTATGGCCCTTGATTGTAGGAAAAATCATTTTCTTGTTAGCTTGTTTTCTATCCATCTCTCGAAAATGTGGGCGTATCCTGCCTGGCAGCCGCTGGTTATAGTTTTGTAAATGCTCCCAATACCAAGAAAAGAATAAATGTGTGACAACCTTTGTGGACTGCAGACGACTTTATAGCATATGTCTCCTGACATCCTATATTATTTTTCAGTCAATCCTTTGGTTCATTGGTCAAATGTTGTTGGTGCTACTCATTCTAGTGATTTTGAGATCTGGAGGTATGGTGGTATGGCATCACCTGCTGTTAAAGAAGTCTGTGAATTTGGAATCTGGAGAACTTTGGAAAAATATATGAAACAGCAGGTAAGCTTATATCTAGTTCTAGTAATTATTTTGTCACTTACGCATTGTATGAAAAAGTCTTGAAAAAATAGCATTGAAAGGACATCTTTACAGCTTCTTTAAAAGCCTTTACATTACATTACAAGCAAAGTGAAAGGCAGTAAAGGTATCCATTACTATATCACAGTGTTTTCCAACCTTGGGACTGAAAATATTTTTTGGATGGCCATAAAGTCGAGTTAGTGAGAGAGAGAAACATCCACTCGAAACAAACTAGGTCATTTTGGGACTAACATGGTTCAATTTTATTTCAATAATTTGTTTGCGCGTAGGGGTCTTTAGCAGTGGGAGGACCCGGAGAAAACCCATGAGGTTGGACAGGCGACCCTACTCCTTGTCAAAATTCTGTGAGAAAATTCCTTTTGTGCGTGTGATCTCATTTCATTCTACTTCACTATATCCTGGGTTCATCCATGGGGTATTCACATACCGGTATTCACATTATCTGCCCTTGATCGTAGCTTGTTTTTACAAACCAATCAAAAAACAGTTTACAAACAAGTCTTAACCTCATTGTTTACATTCACAACAATATGGCAGCTTGTTCGCTCGATTATGAGAAAGTTTGCAAGAAATTTAATATAAAAGTGACATGTACACAAAAAGATGTCATAAAACATCTTTTTGATAGGAAAGATGTTTTTATGTCGGTCAAAACAGGCAGTGGTAAGTCATTAATGTCATCAAGCATATTGGGAACGGAATGAGACCACCGAGGATACCACCGGGGATATCGAGGATGGAGATAGGGAAATGAAATGAAATGGGGTTTAACGTCCTACTGTTCTGCTGGGAGATAGGGAGAAAGGTCGTAAATCCATTGATCGGCTTGTTGGGGCATAAGAAATATGCAAATTTTGTGTCAATAGATTATTTTTTAAAATATCGTAAGATACAATCAGTGTATCCTTTAGTATATAAAAATACTAGCAGGATACCCAGCTTCGCCCGAGCCCAATTCACCAGAGGCCCAGATCTGATTATCGATTGTAGTTTAGAGATTCAAGATCCACCCAATACCTCTATCAGACAAATCAACACAACAACCATTTTAATAATTTATACAAATCTGACAGGATGAATAATCCTTGAATCGGTATAATATGATGAAATAATCCACAACAATAATCCTAAACTTGGATAACAACAGAGATAATTTCTCTCAAAACAGCACAATGTAAAACAAAGAGATAATTTCTCTCAAATAAGCACAATAAGTGCAACAGCACGAAGTGTCAATAAATCGAGAACACAGACCACTTGGTTCAAACTTACGACAAAAGTTTAGTTCTGTACAAAGTGCTAAGAAAGTTCTGCCCTTGGACTGGTCTGATCCGGAAATTTTTAGAACTTTCTGGAACATTCTCAAATTTTCCACAACTTTCCTAGATCCAGAACCTTCCAACTTTTTCCAGAACCCTCCAGAACCTTCCAATGATTTCGAAACACTGTTTCCTGAAATTTTCATTGTTTCTAGAAATTTCCAAATAATGATTCTAGAAAAAAATCAATGGGCAAACATACACACACCGGCCATTCATACATACATACATACAAACTTTTATTTTATTTATATAGATGAGATGTACCAATATTTATCAAGCTTTAAAGAGCTATATTAACTTATTTAGCTTGTTCCACACGTTTTACGCCATTATGTAGAACGTAACATCAAGCTACAAGTTCATGTCACTCACTGAAGCACAGGCCCTAAATCCCACCATTCAAAAAATGGGAAATTTGACTAAACAGAGTACATGCAGATGTGGGAGTCGTCAGAGATTTGTAAATTGCCCCAAGGTGTCTGTGAGTGTAAAAAAATGGCAAACCACAGTAGGTGAATTACTTGAAGTTTGATAATGAGCAGAGATAGGCTTTGGGACATGATAATGATAACTTTGATCGTAATTGAGTGAGAGTGTTTGTGGACACTCTACAGGTACAATTCTTATCTGATTTTGGCGAAACTTGAAATATATGTTTATCTCCAAAAGATCTTGGTTCCTTTTGATGCTGGCATGTATCGGATTGAAACTTCATGGATTATGGCCCCCTGATTTTACGAAAAGTCACGTTTTTAGCTTGTGGTCCCTCAAGAGGTTACAATTTTTGTCTAATTTTAAAAACTTTCATATATATTACCGTTACACCATAATCATGATCGAGTACAATTTTGATCTGATTTTGATGAAAATCTCGTTCACAATTTTTATACGCCCACATTTTCATGTGGACATATATTGTCATCGCCCCTGTCCGTCCATCCACAATTTGTTTGTGGACACTCTACAGGTCACAATTCTTATCCGATTTTGACGAAACTTGAAATATAGGTTTATCTCCAAAAGATCTCGGCTGCTTTCGATATTGGCATGTATCGGATCGAAACTTCATGGATTATGGCCCCTGATTGTACGAAAAATCATGTTTTTAGCTTGTGGACCCTATAGAGGTCACAATTTTTATCCAATTTTGTTAAAACTTGAAATGTAAGTTTATAACCAAAAGATCTTGGTTCCTTTCGATATTCGCGCATATCTGACCGTAACTTCCTGAATTATGGCATACATGCCAACCTAAGGAGATTGAAAATCAGAATGCCTTGTCTTGAGGGTAGAGCGAGGACCGCAGGTCCAAGTTCGATCGGTGAGAAATTAGCACCTATTTAAAGCAATACCTTGTATTATTTGATATAAACAGCTGGTGATTTAGGTCCTTGCATCTGAGTTTTTTTTACCTATTTATATACGAAAGTATGCATATATGCTTTTTGTCATTTACAATACCACCGTAAGCAACACATAAATCACTCCTACAGACTAAACAAAATGCGAATTCGGAGCCTCTACGCGAGGACGTAATGGTTCCTGGAAATTCTTTGGCGTAGGTTTCCCGGTATTTTTGTCTGATATTTGTTTTGGAAGCCATTTTGTTTGTCTTGACGACCGACACGGAAGTAGAAGTCGTAAATTATTTATACTGGGTTTTATTTATAATTGTAATTTGTTTTTTTCACACATGGAAAACAGCTTGAAAACATTTTTTATCAAGTCAGAAGGAAATATGGCTAAGGAAGAAGCAATGACGTTACTGGCAACTAACATTAAACCCGCCGTGTACTGTACGAGTGTATGCGAGAATGGCTCCGCGTAGCAAATAATATCCGCGAAGCAAATAATATCCGCAAAGTATGCAAATTAGGCACGGCCTATGACGAAATAACCATGTGACATTTTAATCTCGATTAGTCCAGACATATTAGCTTATTCCATTTTATATTAATAATAATTGAGAAAACTGGGGACATGTTTTCAGCTATTTCCGTCCTTTTACCGCGAATTATGCAAATTAGACACGGCAAATGACGGAAATAATCGCATGACATTTTGATCTTGATTAGTCCAGACATAATAGCTTATTCCATTTTATATTAATAATAATAAGGAAAACATGACACATGTTCTCGACTATTTTCGTTGTTTTACCGACTCGTACTACGATAAACAGTATCGCCATCAGATTCACAACAAACAGCGAGAATGCCGAGACAGTCGTCAATGTAAAAATAAAACGAGAGGGATTTTATCAATCAAAAAGGTCAGGAATGAAATATAATAAATTTCTTCCAATAAATTTAAAAAAACGGAATTATAAAGAGTAAAATCGGAATTCAGAATTAGACTCAGAAAATCGGAATGATTCCGACAAAATCGGAATAGTTGGCATGTATGTTATGGCCCCTGATTGTACGAAAAATCGCGTTTTTAGCTTGTGGCTCTATAGAGGTCATGATTTTTATCCGATTTAAAAAAACGTATTATCGAATTTCATGAAAATCGGCCCAAAATTGACGGACAAAATGGCCGCCGTTCGTTCTCAAATAGGGTAAAAATATGGTATATCAAGGTTGTGGACCCTATAGAGGTCACAATTTTTATCTGATTTTGTTGAAACTTGAAATGTAAGTTTATAACCCAAAGATCTCGGTTCCTTTCGATATTCGCGCATATCAGACCGTAACTTCCAGAATTATAGCCCCTGCATTTTACATAAATTCGCTTTTTGAGGTTTGTGGACCCTGTAAAGGTCATAATTTTATCCGATTTTAAAAAAAGTATTATTATATCACTGTTACACCCTAAGGACAGCTGAGTTCGAATTTCGGGAAAATCGGCCCAAAATTGACAGACAAAATGGCCGCCGTTCGTTCTCAAATAGCGTAAAAAATGGTATATCAAGGTTGTGGACCCTATAGAGATTACAATTTTTATCCGATTTTGTTGAAACTTGTAATGTAAGTTTATAACTAAAAGATCTTGGTTCCTTTCGATATTCGCGCATATCTGACCGTAACTTCCTGAATTATAGCCCCCGATTGTACGAAAAATCACGTTTTTAGCTTGTGGACCCTATAGAGGTCATAATTTTTATCCGATTTAAAAAAACTATTATTATATCACCGTCACACCCTAAGGATGGCTGAGTTCGAATTTCGTGAAAATCATCCCAAAATTGACAGACAAAATGGCCGCCGTTCGTTCTCCAATAGCGTAAAAATATGGTATATCAAGGTTGTGGACTCTATAGAGGTCACAATTTTTATCCGATTTTGTTGAAACTTGAAATTTAAGTTTATAACCCAAAGATCTTGATTCCTTTCGATATTCGCGCATATCAGACCGTAACTTCCTGAATTATAGCCCCCGATTGTACAAAAAATCGCATTTTTAGCTTGTTCACCCTATAAAGGTCATAATTTTTATCCAATTTAAAAAAACGTATTATTATATCGCCGTTCCACCCGAAGGACGGCTGAGTTTGAATTTCGTGAAAATCAGCCCAAAACTGACAGACAAAATGGCCACCCTTCGTTCTCAAATAGCGTAAAAATATGGTATATCAAGGTTGTGGATCCTATAGAGGTCACAATTTTTATCGATTTTATTGAAACTTGAAACACA